GGCCTGTATCAGGCGCACCTTAGTCTCCAGAGAGACACCGTTGCTCCTGAGTACTTTAGAGAGGTCTTTAACTGCAGACTTTCCCACCGCAATACGTTTTCCAATTTCCCGACTGCAGGTGCCAAGACTGTTGACTGTGGATCCAAGCAAACCGAAACTTAGTGCTGCTCTAATAGAAATATTACAATTTGATGGTGTTAACAGATATTTATTTTCTCACAGTTCAGGAGAATAAAAGTTCAAATTTGGTATGTTAGCTCTAAGTGAAACCTTTTTCTTTTGACTCTGAAGGAATGTTTTTGTCTCTAGTTTATATTTTCTGGGTCTTTGATCTCTATGTGACTTGCTAACTATCTTACACTGTCTTCTGCTTCTTTTACTCATTGGTAAATCTTAAATTTTGGACTAGTAACCAAATAAATGTAATTTATATACTTTTTCTAACATTTTCTATTTTATTCATTTTTATTGTGATTTGAATGAAAGTTTACAAAACATTGACTTTCCACCCAGTCATTCACACATTTTGTGTTCTAACCTTAATTACAAAGCCTACATTATTAGATGGTTTCCACTTCTTCTCTGTAATCCATGAATCCCTCTACCGTACCCCTTTCTGCTTTCAGATATATTTTGAGTAAATGTTGTCCCTTTGTCCTTATCTACTTGGTCATTCTAAGAACTTCCTGGTGTTATGGGTTACCTAATACGTCTACCTATTGTTGGACTGAAAATAGACCTATAGGGGTGTGCATTATTTTTTAAAAAAAAATTATTTATTTCAGGTTTCTATGTGATGTCATTGCTTTCTTGCCTGTATGGTTTCTGCTGAGAGGCAGAGCTTAGTCTCTTGGGGTTTTTTCTTAATTTTTTTATGATTTTTTTTTGTGTAAGTGTACCGTCAAATCACATCTGACTGGTACAGGAGAAGACTGTCCCTCCTTCCCCGGCAGAGCTTCTGGTGGATTCGAACCGTGTCTCTTGGGTTTTTTGTTTGTTTGTTTGTTTGTTTTATCTCTTTTGTAGGTCACATCTTGTTTTTCCTGAACTGCGTTCGGAGTTCTTTCTTTATTTACCTTTGGAAAGTTTGATTCTGATGTGTCGTAGTTGTGTTCCTTTTGGAGTCTATCCTGACTGAGTATTCTTGGAGCTTCTTGAATGCGTATTTTCTCATCTTTCCCCCATCATTTGCTCTGCATTTGAGAGCTGGACAATGACAACAGAAGAATTGGTGCCTTTGAGCTGTGCTGTTGGAGAAGAGTACTGAATACCTCATACATTGCCTAAACGATATACAGCTATGCCTTGGAGAAGGTACAGCCAGAGTGCTTCTTGGAGGCAAAGATGAAAAAGCATCAACTCACATGTTTCTGAGGGGGGCTAGTCCTTAGAGAGGGACATCATGCTTGAAAAGGTTATTGTTGCTGTTGTGCGCTGTCAAGTATGACTCATAGCGACCCAACGAACAATTGATCTGAATCCTGTCCTGTCCTGGGCTCCACACTCAGAACCATTGCTGCAGTCACTGTGTGTCAATCTATCTGGTTAAGTAAGGGTCTTCCTCTCCTTCACTGTCCTTCTCTCTTCCCAAGCATGATGTCCTTTTCCAGGGAATAACTTCTTCTAGCAACTTGTCCTAAGTATATGAGATAAAGCTTAAGCTTCATGATCTTTGCCTGTAAGGTGGAGGGTTTTTTAAAATTAAATGTTATTAATTTTAATGAACATTTACAGAGATTTTTGGATTTCCATTCATTCATTGTTGCACTATTTTCTCTACCCTCCCCCCAGTTCGTTCCTCTTTTTCCCTTGAAAGTCTGTTTTAATTGTCCAATTGCCACAGTGCTTGTCAAAGCCAGTTCTGATTAACCTCCTTTGTCAGTGTGTCCTTTGCCATTCCCTATCACTCCTCCCTGAGAGAGACTTCACCCTGATTCATAAGGTAAAGGGGATGGCGTATTCTCTTAGCTACTTCCTGCTGAAAAGGGACGCTGTAGGTTTCAGGGTGAAGATCTTCTCTCACTACTCTAAAGGGCCCCCTTTGGCAATAGGAAACACATAGACTATTATGGAGATTGATTTTGGAATTTAGATGCACTGTTATCAATTGTGCTTAGCCGTACATGTTCATATCCTTGAAGATGTATCATGGAAGTGTTGCAGCCTAGAAGACACAAATTTAACTAATAAGTTAAAAGTACATGAGTCAAAAACGGAAAAGCTGTAATATTCCAAGTAGAGGCTCTAATAGTGGCACCGATCAAGTTACAGAGGGAAGGTAAAGGTGGAGGTTGAATGAAAGAGAGGAAGGCTCTCAATGAGATGGCTTGACACAATGACAATAGCAACGGGCTGAAGTATGTCAGTGACTGCGAAGGTGGAACAAGGTTCAGATTTGACCTTCACCAGCCACTGTGAGTTAGTTGTACCCCACTCGACCGCACCTACCAGTGACAACAACGCAGGACAGAAAGTGGAGTGAAACGGCTATAGTTTAAAAAAACAACAACCTCATCCCTTCGTTTTCCTAATTTTTAGGAGTTCATTACTCCAACAACGCAATGCCTGATTTTACAATTGAATTGTGTCTCCCCCAAAAATGTAGGCTGTAAACCCTGATCCCTATGCCTGTGGTTATAATATCATTTGAGAATGGCCTTTCTTTTGTTAAGAGATCGTATCACAGTAGGATGTCTTTGAAGCAAATCACTTTATTATTTGTGTGTGTGTGTACCATCAAATCAGATCTGACTGGTACAAGAGGAGATGGCCCCTCCTTCTCCAGCAGAGCATCTGGTGGATTCGAACCACATACCTCGGGGATTGCGGTGCAGCTTCTTGGCACTAGGCCACCAGAGCTCCCTGAAACTAATAACTTTTGAACTATGGGAAGAGTTTTTCAGAACAGAAGCAGGCAGAGAGGAGAGAAGACGGATCTCATACCACATGGGATCTTCATAGAATCAGGGGGAAAATGGTTTAGAGACAAGACCCTTTTTTTCTAGAGTTAACAACAAAGAGAACATCTCCTTTTAGAGCCAGGGCCCCGACTGGGGACTTGCAGCTTCCTGAACTGTGAGAAAATAAATATCTGTTTGTTAAAGCCACCTTGTGGTACTTCTGTCACGGACACACCAGATTATTAAGATAACACCCCAGCCGAGTTCCAGCATAAGAAATAACTGTGCACTTCCATCTTGGAGAGAGGGTATATAAAATCAGTTTTCTTTTCAAGAATTTAAATGTATCTAGAGCTCTCGAGGTGAAGGTGACTTATCTTGCTGTTAGTGACCTCTCTGTCCCGCCCACAGGTGACATATCTCAAGATTATACAACGCAGAATCTCATCCGGATGGTCATTGGCGGACTAACCTTGCTGGTCCTTGGGGTCCTGGTCCTTCAGGCATGGAAGACCCAGATAAGACCCCACGCTGCAGACAAGACGGACAGACATGAACTTGCTGCTCTCAGAGCGTAAGACTGGTGAATTCACACAACAAAAACCAAGGAGAAGGCCATAAAAATTGGGAGAGGAAATTAGAGGTGTGTTGTGTTTGAATGCTGCAGAGTTCAAAAGGACTGTCTCCATAATAGATTTACTCACACATAAAGAAAACAAAAACCTATGCAGCTAGATCAGTAAGCAACAGAAAGACATCAAAGGATTCGTCACAAAGGGTAACTACGTCACCAACAAATTCTGTAAACTGTTAAGGGACAGAGATGCCACTTGGAAGACGAGGGTGCACCTGACGTGGTATTTTCAACTGCCTCACTGTGGCATCCACTTCCTAAACAACATGCCTCTGGAAACTCTACTAACTTAGAGAATTGACGATAATTATAGAACAGGGTTCAGGTCTTTTGTTCATAGGGTCGTTATGAGTCATACTCAAGTCAATGACAATCAACAACAACGACAAATACATGTAAACACTGGATAACAAATATGGAAGAGTAAAGGAGAATTGAATTGGAGCCTAAGGTGCGCCTGATACAGGTCATGGTCTTTGCCATGACTTGCTATGTATCAACGAAAACTGGACAATGACTAGGGATGATAGAAGGAGAGTATATGCCTTTGAGCTGTGGTGCTGGAGAAGTGTTGAAGATAACTCGGACGGCTAGGAGAACAAACAGGTTCGTTCTGGAGAGGGTGAAGCCAGGCTGCTCCTTGGAGGCAAGGATTCTGAAGCTTCATCTGACATACTTTGGACACGTTGCAAGGAGGGACCAGTCCTTGGAGAAGGACGTCATGCTTGGGAGGGTGGAGGGACAGCGCAGGAGAGGAAGACCGTCGATGAGATGGATTGATTCAGTGACTGGGGTATTGAGGGTAGGTCTGTTAG